CTAGTCATTCGTATATCTGGACAAGCCAAGAAAATTTATTTCAAAGAACTTCAATGAGAAGATATAATTCACATAATATATATATAATGAGTTATTCCAAAGGATTATTAAATCATGAATCATTTGGTGGTACATTAAGAGGTCAACGAGGATTACCAGGAGTGGGATTCAAATTAACCGATTCTGGTAGACTACGACATGGAAAACAAACAACTTAAAAATTCGAAAAATCCAACTGATAATCAAGATGCTTGTACAAAGTCTTATGCTTACAAAACACGATTCACAACAGGTACCCTTGATATGCAAGACAATAAAATAATAAATGTCGGTAATCCTTGAAACAACAAAGTTGTGGTCAATTCACAATATCTGACATCAAACTTTTTAAAAAACACAGGTGGAAATTTTTCAGGCAATATCAACTTTATAAATGACAGCCAATCATCAAGACAAATAACAGGTCTTTCTAATGATCCTCTTTCAGGTACTGCTGCTGTAAATCTCAATAAACTCAATTCCGAACTTCAAACAAAGGCTGATCTATCAGTTGTGACCAATGGATTGAATGCTAAATTAGACACTACAACATTTAACACCGAGATAGCGAAAAACCCTGCTACTAGTACTGTTATGCTTCTCGATGGGACTCACTCGATGACTGGCGACCTTGATCTCAACAATAACAAGGTTATCAATTCAGCAGCGCCAACAGCTGGAACCGATCTTTGTAATAAAACTTACGTTGACATAGAGTTAGCTAAGAAGCATGATATCGGAAGCATTGATCTGACTAATTATCTTGACAAAACGAAAGGTGGTAATATTGAGGCTGCTTTGAATTTTACTAGTATTCATGGAGCTCAGAGACAGATAAATGGTTTCAGTAATCAATCCGCACAAACTTCATCAGCTGTCAATCAATATTATGTTGATAATGAACTTCGAAAAAAAGCTGATCAATCAGTCATGCCCAACGAACTTAGTGAAAAACTTGATATTTCAACCTTCAACACTGAGATAGTCAAAAAAGCTAATCTATCAGCAATGACCAACCAACTCAGTGGAAAACTTCACACAACAACATTCGACACAGAGATAGCCAAAAAAGCTGGTCCATTAAGTGTTATGCTTTTAGATGGTACACGTGCTATGACTAGTGACCTCAACATGAACTCAAAAGCAATCATAAACCTAAAAGATCCACAAGCACATGACAGCCATAATGCAGCTACGGTTAATTACACTAATAAAACAATAAGCGACAACAATGCTGTTATTAAGACAAATTACGAGAAATATGTTAACGACAACCTAACCCACAGCATCAGTGAAGGCCTAGTCGAAGAAGCGAAAAAATTAATCTCAAATTTCTCAAATTCATATAACGATCTCGCATACATCATGATTTCACCAGGCCAATTCACTGATGAAGACGACATAACAGGAAAACAATTCACAGGCAAATATGGTACACGAGTCAAACCATTCGAACTAAAATTGGACACCAAAAAGGGATATTATTGACGCCGTTTCGGAGTAAACATGTACCCAGCTCAACAGTCAGAATACACAATCGCCTGTGAAATTTATTGGGAATCCGATAAAATAGATTATAATTCAGTCAGTCTCCAAGTTACAAGTTACGAGTCATCCTACAACCCTACATCACACAAAGCCACAACTATCAGAACTCTAACACGACGCGCACAACTAGTATGTGACTCGACAGACAGCTTATCCGACGAGAACAAATACCTTCACCGTGTTTTTACGAAGAACAACTACAACAACGACTTCATCCGACGAAACACTCACCGACCCACTACCACTACCGAAACAAACGACACCGCAACCCCTACGACTACAGCAACCATACCGTACATAAAAGG